AGCCCATCTTATGTCCATTTCTCTTAAACGCGACACCTACACCACATTAAACTTCGACTCCATTTCACAGATTTTTAAAAGCTACTGCCCCAGCTCTATCTTCTGTACATACAGTGCCATCCTGCTCATAATTGTTTGATTGCCTCTCGTGCTGCAGGCAAGGTCAGCTTCCATTTTTGCGCCATAAGTTTCTTCGATTCCATTCACCTCTTATCACTTCACAAAACTCAGATTCGCCCTGCAGTTGAATAGTGCAGCCGGATGTGGGGTGGAGCTTCTTTTATCTGTCTCTTTTGGGTTGAATTCAACGCAAAACCATTCGCCAAATCAGTGACCCGTTTCTAACATGCAATTATTAGTCACTGACTCACCATCCAGTAGTGACTCTCTAGTCCCTATTCCATCACCACTGTTTCGTTTTGTATTCAATCAATCCTGACTCATCTATCTGGCTCGCAATTGTTCTTTTGCGTACGGTCTCGTACTCAATCCGCTAAATAATCATTTCAAATGACAATCTTCAGGTGCCGCACTCTCGACTTTATCCCAAGACCGTCAAAATTACGGAACACTTTCGCCGTTTTCGTCTCTCAGCTTACGATACATCCTCACTGTTGAAGGCAAAATTAATAAGCTGGTGCTAGTTTGAACCTCCTCTTTACGATCTCGTACACGATATATTTTCGGATTAGGGGGTCAACACCATTTACTGTTTACTGAAGTGCGGTAAAGCCTAGAGACAACTCGAATGGAAACCAGTGCTTTGATTACGAACTCCGGCAAATTTCACAGTGTATGAATGCTACAAACTTAAATACCAGACATTTGGGTTTCATTGGCATTTAGGAACTGATAACTAAAAATATCTCATCAGATTTACCGAAACTCGATAAAACATAAATGGTTTTAGCGATTTCTCACACAAAGTGCACCTATTCATCCAACTCACGCGGACTAAAGACATGTTAAATATTGAAGTTGAAAACGCTTATTTTAATTTTTTGAGAGGCAACGGACTGTATTAGTGGAATAAAAATACAATTCTACCGCGTGTTATATTACCCGGGTGTGTGCGTTCAGCATTCTCATTTTCGACTGTTTCCAACGTCTGCGGAAGGGTCAACTTCGTCAGACGACGGGCGACTAAAACAAGTTGAGCAACTTGTGGATGAAGCTGACAATCTTTTGGACGCACTGGCACATGACAAACCGGACAAGATTCGTTTCTTCGGGATACTGTGCCGCCTAAGCGGCACTGCGGGCATAAGAGATGATCGCAAACTCCAGTTGTATATGGTTCATGTAAAGGGGCATTGCAATGATCGCACTGTAGGAGGTCCAACAACCTTTGAACTGCCTGATAAGTTTTCGAAAGTTCCACCATAGGACACTGAAAGACAATTGGTGTAGTTTACAGTTACAATGAAAAAACATCGAGAAGACTCAAATAAACTTTGAGGAGTGAATAATTTCGTTAAATGACACCAAGAAAGTGGTGCTGTCTGTTGTTTTTAATATTACATTCTTGTGTGATGAACAGCTAAAAGAGTAAATCTGTAGTCATGGGGATCTACAGTTCATTCATGATTACCGGCCCTGGGACTTCGAGAGCGGAGCCAAGCCATCGTCATTATCGTATAGCGAAATACAGTGAAGCAAACTTCATTGATAGCTGCCAAACTCGCAATGCGTACAAGATTAGCGGTAAAATTTAAGGTGGACAGGGATTGGACCTATTTCGGAGGACGGAGAAGGTGAACCTCTATGGTCAACACACAGAGTACGCAATCGAACTATGCATACGCACCGCTTCAAGCATTCTGACCTGATAGGAAACGACAAGAACGCCACTACTGTCGGTTCTCTGCCATATCCTTCAATGTTTCCAACCAACCAGTTGTGGAGTCTTTCGAATCCCAACCTGGAAGGTACGAGACACCTACTCTACTTAATGGCTCTGTACATTCCTTCATGTCTCGTCTCCACGTCATCTGTTGACCTCCACGTGGTTTCCTCAAGCCCGGATTAGCTACAGCGAATAAAGCGCGGTGCGGTAGACGACAGCTGGACGTACGCAATACGTGCCCCCAACCAGCGAAGTCTATTAATCTGAATCCGGTGTGCCAGCAGGTTTATACCTGACAGACTCCCAAACCCACGACGACTTACCTACCGGTTACTAACCCATCCACTCCATCCCATGTGAGCTAAACTGCGTAAACACCTATAATCGAAAACTTCTAGTCGACCGATGTCCTCTACTCGCATATTCAAGGTCTCACAACCATAAAACAGGACTGAACGAACGCTAGCACAATATACACGACCTTTCAACTTCAGTAAAACTTTGCGTCTACGCCAAAGGTGTTTTAGTCCTGCATGTGCTGCTCGAGCCTCGGAAATGCGGACGGTTATCTCCTTTGCTGCACTACCGTCATTGGTCACGCAACTACCTAAGTAGGAAAAGTAATCTACCACTAAGTCTTGGCCATTTAGTTTCAGAGCGGGAGTAGACGAAACCCAGTCCTGCAGCATCACTTTGCGCTTTGAAGGTACAAAGCACATATCGAATGTGCCTACTGCACTAGTTAATCTATCAAGTGCGCTTTGCGCGTCCTCCATACATTCGAACAGAAAGACGATGTCATCGGCGTACTCTAAATCGCGCGGCTTTTTTCCAGTTGCCCATTCAATACCTACGAGAGAGGACACCCTTGACGAACGCCGCTGCTGGTGACAAATGGCCTACTCAGTTCATCATAGACCCATACACGACCAGAGGTGTGAGTACTTACTTGCTTACTTTACTAAGGCTGACTGAACTGTTCGCTGAAGTATTCCACCCAGCGATCAAGCAGTTCATCCCTATTGTGAATAGACTGTCCCTCTTATCGCAGACTGTATCGTTAACTGGAGTTCGCCGACCTCCCGTATTGCGTATCAGTCGGAACAGTCTTTGACTATTCCCTGATGCAGCTGCTATTTCCATTTCACTAGCTATTGTTGCCCACCAGTTTTCACGGTCCTTCCTGAGGTTCTTGGAAAGCTGACGTTTCAGATGCTACCTAACTATTGTGATCCTGGCAGATCAAAATTTGTCGTTTTTTCTCCATAAAAACTGCTGACTCCTGAAATATCCAATGCCTCCGACGGTCTTGAGGCTCAGACACAAGCAACATTTGCTGCGGAATGGATTGCTCGCCTAATCTGATCCCACTGCTCATCTGCATCATCACGTTGAGGTGCGCTTAGCTCACGCACTAGCTCTGATTCATATCGTACACGAACTGCTGAAACAGATAGTCCATGATGAGATATACGGGTTTGCTGAATTCGTCGCCGGTCAGTCAGTCGGAGAGTGAACTGCATCAAAACTAATGCGTGATCAGACTCAATGCAAGCGGTCCAATAGGACCTGCGATTTTGCACTGAGCCACGCCAACGGCAGCGCACTACGTGGCCGAATTGAGTTAGCGTACCAGTTGAACTGGAGCGCCACATTGCCGTCCGTCGAGAGCTGTGCCGGAAGTTGGTGCTTGATAGGAACAGATGATGATCAGCGCAGAACTGAAGTCGATCACCGTTATCTGTTCGTTGGCTTGCCAGAACACAAATACCGCCTAGGCAAGCTTCTGATGCGCTCAGTTTTCCAACTTGAGCGGTAAGGTCACCTGAAAGTACAACTATGTCGGAGCTTCGACTCATCCGAATGGGATCGATCAGTTCATCGCAGAAAGCGTTCTTTGGGTATCCTAACTGCAATTGGTCGGTGCGTATGCCGATACGATGAACAAACACCTTTTGGTGTTGCTTCCCTTCCGGACGCTGATTGAACCCTGGAAACGCACCGCACATAAACGACTATTGATGGGGATCCAATCGATAAGAGAGGACTCCGCCCCGTTGCTGAGTACAATATCTATCCCGCGCTGACCTACTGAACGACCTCCATCGTCGCCTGATGTGCAAAAGAACGTATCTCGACGACAAATCCTGCGCGCTCAAGTGGCTTATAGTAGTAAGACCCTGGATTCGAGTTTCCGACACGTAGCAAATATCGATCCCCAATGATTCCATTGTACGCGCCAGACAAACTTGTTGACCTACCTGCATGAAAGTCCTCACGTTGAAGGCCCCCAGATTCGGTGATTGATGAGGCTTTAGAATCTGCAATTCACTTCGTGGTAAATTACTTACAGTACTATTTGGCAACGACCTTTGGCGAGCGACATCCAAGTCGATTGGGGGACTATTACAGGTTGGAAAGAGGAGCAAATGCAGAGAAATGGGTGCTGAATACAAAGAATTAATTAAAGGTTGGAAAATCGGAGCAGTAGCCCACTACCCAACCTGTTCGATGCAATGGGCAGCGCGGTCCTGATTTTCTCTGCGCGACGACCGATGCTGTATGGAATTATTTCTAGTTTGTGTATGCATTCGGATTTGATGGACGGGTACTGCTAGGGTGTCTAGCCACTAAACACGAGAATGATTAGGGTTCTCGTTCAAAGCCTTGTTCTGACAGGAACCTAACCGCAAGGCAGCGGGTGAGGCGAAGTATAGGCTCATTTACTTGGATCAGTTACTCCTCCACCATTTTTTAACGACTGAAACGCCAATTCTAGTCGAACCCCCAACCTGGAGGACTAGGAGACTGGGCTTAGTTCGACCTCTACCCTCTGACCTTCCAGACATGATGAGATCTTCGGCTTGACAAAAGCCATCCTGTGTAGCTCGTTAGGCCAGAGAGGTGCACAAGCCATCACACCACGTCAAGGAGTAGTCTCGTCTACACGTACCCTACAGTAAACTTTTTTTTCACACCACTCATTTTCACCAGAAAGATACGTCAAATCCTGCGTCTTCTCATCATCATCACCATCGTACAGCGAGATACAGTGAAGCGAGCTTCACTGATCGCTGCCAAGCTCACAATGTACACAAATCAAATGATAAAGCAAAAGATGGAGAGGGATTGGGCCTACTTGGAGGGAGGCAAAGAAAACGAACCTCTATGTTCAACACACAGAGTACACAATCTAAGTGTTCATGCATACCTTTTTCAAGCATTCTGCCTTGTTAAGAAATGACAACAAGAGCGCCACTGCTGTCGGTCAGTCGCCATATCCTTTAATGTCTCCAGCCAACCAGTTGTAGCGTCTTTCGGTCCCCAACCTGGAAGACGGGAAACACCGATTCTACCTAATCGCTCTGTGC